CATCACCAGTTTTTATAGGTTTTACTCGCTCACTCTCTTTCCCTGACTTTTATTCTTTCTCCCCTTTTTTCTCTACTCCATAAGTCCAGAATTTTTTCCCGTTACTCGATAAAGCTTCTAAAATAATACAGTTAAAAATTACCAGTTTATTTAAAGCTTTTCATAAATACACCGAATGGCAAGAAAAACGGAAGTAATTATTTTCAAAGCTTTTACAACGAACGTACACAACTGTACTTCCTATAACTCAAGAAAGATTACTGTATATTACAACATTATCTCACCAATATGTAACGCGAATTGTCCTTTTTTTACTCGTTCTATTAGAAGCTTCTCAACTTTACTTTATCTCTCTCTCTTTCTCTATCTTGCTCGTAGTACGTCGTGCTTGCGAGCTTCTCACTTTATGAAAACTCCTTCGTTCCCGTATATAGTACGGCTGGCCGAGGAACACGCGCCTACTTTCTCTTTCCCTACTTCTTGCAAACTCCATTTTCATCTTTTTCGTCGTCTAGCATACCCATTTCTCTTTTTCCTGTCTCATTCTTTGTTACGAAAAGGGAACCGAAGGCAAAGCTGCAGTGTGTGTGGCAAAGCTAGGCAAGATATAGCATCAGCGCGACAGCAACAGCAGTAGCAACAGCAGCGGCAGAGACTTTAATATCATTTTAAAATCAAAGTTTTTCGTCGGCTTACTCGGGGGCAACTTTTGTTTATCATTTGTTGCTTCGTTCGACTACAGCTCGCATTGCGGATAGTAGTAGTAGTAGTAGTAGCAGCACTAGCCTCGCCGTATGCGCTCGCGAACTTTCGACTTCTTGTTCGAGAGCAGAGCCGCCGCCGCTGCTGCCGCTGCTCGTTCGTCATGCACGATGTATAGATATAAATGTACTTTTTGCACCTCCAGGGCATATGCCAGAAGCATCACGACGGATAAATCTATGTATATACATGCAAGTCTGTCTTGCAGCCTCCCCACGTGCGCGGAGCTTTTATATATAATACAGCAACAGCACACGATCTCTTTCTCAACGCCTGAAGAATTTTTATGGCTAGTTGTGCGGTATACTGCGCCGCCATACGCGACAACAACAAAGACCTCGCTCGCGCGCGCGTAAGACTCGGGTAAGCTCAACTTTTTGCATTTTTAAGCTCTCTTTCTCTCTCTTCCCCGGTCGTTTCTCTCTCGTCCGCGCAGATTATACTACCTTATGTACGCTTCTATCGTTTACCAATGACATGCCTCGCTGGTAGTGGTAGATACATGCGTATACGTGCGCGCGACGAGCGTATAATATAAACTCGCGTAATAGCAGACAGCAGTCGCGTTAGTGCCATTAAAAGTAGTACGCCATCTCCTCCATATATCTTTATATACGCGTATACCGTATTGCGCGACGAGCTTTAATGTAAAATGTAATACACGCGAGGTATATAGCGAGAGATACTCGGCTATGTGTTGCGCTGCTGCTGCTGCTGCAGTTGTTCATTTGAAGAGGCCACTATACGACCCTTGCGAGAGATGAGAGGCGCAGCAGGTCGCAAAGTGTACTGGCACGTCATGTAAACGTATACGCGCGCGCGGGCGCGCACATGGCTATATATACATTCTCTGGCATACATATATTATTTTCTTTGATGCGACCGACGCGCGGGCGTCAAAGTGCTCCTGTCGACTAGGTACTACTAGCCTGGACGAGCTATATACTTGCTGCTCTCTTCGCCGAGCGCAGAGGAATCGAGGAGCGCCGCGCGCGCTCGATGGGCGTGTTCGTTCTGCTGCAGCATCAGTAGCAATAATGGCCAACTGATCGCGTACTGCTAAAACTACCAGTAGCAACCGGTCACTACCGGAGAGAAGAGAACCCTCCTGTGTCGGTGTCCGTACACACGAAAGGACGACGATGTCACGTGTAGGTATACACGAAGCCATGAAGCCACGAAGAGCTTGTCGCCTGCCGAGTGCTGCAAAGAGTAACTGGCCAAATTGGGTCAAGTTGTAAGGGGCCCTCCGACGCTGTAACTAAATAGCACTGAAATATTCATTGACCCGAGGGAGAGAGAGAGAGAGAGGATGTGCTGCAGGCAGAGTTTGTAAGCGATCGCTTAGTTGGATTTAACATCGAGAGGCCGGGCGCGCCCAGGATAATATTACACATTTTATACTACGCAAAATGGAGGATATTTTTGCGCGCGTTTCGGTTGCGATGTGAAAGGCGAGTTTGATATGCGCGGTGTTAACGTCAAATTCTCAACTCTATTCCACGAAGATATATATTTCTGGTAAATAGTGAGCCCGCGTGCATACGATGATGGACATCGAGATTTTCGTCGACGAAATCACAAACGCGCGGCTAAAGGGACGTACCACCACCCAGTGTGCGTGAAAGCAAAATTTCCAGCTCGGCTTTGTATGTATAAAGGTGAATGGGGGAGAAGGGTAAAAAGGACCACGTGAATTTACCTCGGTCGTGTCGAGCGATGACGACTACGTCGACAAAAGTGAATATATAGGTTTTACGCTTGAGAGAAAAATACATGCATTATAGAGGAAGACGTGGAACGAAGCAGGACATCCGTTCGATTCAACCAGTGGAGAAACTGAAATGCGCTTCTCGAGTTGAAGAAGAAGTAGAAGAAGAAGAAGAAAAAAAGTTGACGAGACGCAGTGTGATAGGTGTCTCAACACATACGTACGTACGTACGCATCGACGAGAAAAAAAAATAGAAGAAGAGAACGAGATCGAAAAGCAGACACAGAGAGCAGAGAGAGGGAGAGACGGGAATGAAAGAAGAAATGCAAGCGAGAACTAGAGAGCGAAGAATTCGTCGTCGAAGCTCGGTCTCCGGGCTTTTACAAGATCTTGAAATATATTCATTTTATCTAAGCAAGCTTGCTGCGCGTCATGTCTCATTTTTTTTTGTTTTTCTTGCGCGTACTGCCTGTGCTGCATGGGTGTTTTGCGCGCGCGAGTCAAACTTGACGTTCGACTGATATAAAGTCATGAGATGCGCGTAAAAGGCATAAGCATAAAATGAATGTCGTATTATATAGGTAAAGTGGAGGAAAATTTCAGCCGACGCTGCGCTGCTCTGCGAGAAAACCGATTGATTCGAATCTACATCTGAGTTCTGCTCCGGATGAAAACAAAACATTTCGTCTATTTACATTATACTTGAATATTGAATTTTCCGCAATCTGTTTACAGATTTATATTTTTCTAAGTTCGAAGAAAGCAAAAAATATACAAAATACACCATATGCGGAAAAGCAATACCAGATAGGACGCGGGATGTATCACAGTTAAAAACGGCAAACGTAAAAGATAAGTTGAAGCGACCGGGTGAATATTTCGAAGCGTAAATGTAAAACTAGAACATCTGGTGCCGCACAAATCGCGCGTCCGTGTTACTCTCTCGCACATAGTGGACTTGGCCAGACGCTGTCAAGTTTTATCTTGAAATTCATGCATAATTTATCAGAATTTTAGATATACAGTTCTATGTACGTGTAAAATTTAAACTAAGCAAAGTTTAAAATATTACAATTTTACGCAGTCCGTTGCCACGTTAGTTTTCATCATTTTTTAAACGAAAATGTCCATTACAAACATGTATGCGACGTATGATCGAGTCGGACTCTGTAAACCCATGTTCAGCAATAAATTAGATGAGAAAAAAATTACTTTTATATCGCAGTTTCATTTTATGCGCACGACAATTGCAAGAGCATTTCTTACGATTAATAATTCCACTAATACAGTCGAGCGCAAGCTCAAGTTAATACGACGAGCTTGCAAGCCATTGAGATAATTTAACCAATTTATTAAATTTGACTCTCAGTCTATCTCTTTCTTGTCAAAGAGGCGAGCGAAAGAAATGAAAGATGGGTAACAAATTGAAAAAGATCTTCAATCTTTTTTTTTGCAAAGATGAGGACTTTGTAGCGGTGTTATATATGTACGACGGTCAAAAGCAGGGCGGAATAATCAACGTTTGCCTCGGATAAAGGATCGGGCAGAAACAGAGTTTGCAGAGTTGTGCAGCTGCAATAACTCATCTGATTGTGAATTGCAGAAATCGCCCGGCACTGTCACTACCGTTAAGTCGCCATACTATGTCTAAATTCTCTCTTTGTTTTTGTGCAGCTCGACTTCATTTTTCTCTGCAATTTTTTTTGCTTGCGTCATTTTTTTATCCAAGAAGATTTTCATTTTCTTCTGTACCATTAAACAATTTTTATCAGGACAGCTCAAGTTTTTAATCTTTTGCTACACAACATGTAATATTTTCCTATAACTTTTGATGTAATACTTGCATTACTTGGTTAAAATTTCTAAAAGTTACAAATAAATCAACAAATACTAGGTGAGTTCTTTAATTTTGTTACGTCTTCGATCGCCTGCGGCGCCATTACTCCATCACGTGCCTCTCTCGGACACTCGAGAGTCTGCACTGCCACATAGCTGATTTTGCGACCTTTGTAGATTGCACGCGACGCGCGCTTACAGTGACGTCGTGTCGTGAAAGCGCACATGCGAGACTGAGTGCGCGCGCGAGAGAGAGAGAGTGAGAGAGGGAGAGAAAGAGCGAGTAAGCGAGACGGGAGCGAAGGGAGAGAGAAACTCGACGAAATCGATTTGACGCGACGGGCGCGGCTCCACTATTATAGCACCCATCGTCATGAAGCTCTCGTCTAGTGCTCGCGTAGACTGCACGCGCTAGAGAGTTATGTTTGCGCGTCGTTCGTTTTCTTTGGCCTCGTCTTCGCAAATCTATCCTCCGGTTTTGGGATATACTAATAATTTTTTCAAAACGTATACTTTTCATGAATACAAATCGTATGGGAAACTTATTCATTAAATTCGTCATATATTATAAAAGTTAAAAGATAGTTACCAACATGAAACTATTAGTTCATGCTATGGTTTTAAAATATGTAATATATGAAATTATAATATCGATTTTGGTACAACATCTACTAATTTATACATAATAACATAAAAACTTACCCTTCGGCTATTTCCGTCTTTGGGATTTAAGTCTGATGCAACAGTTCCGAAAATTGTAGGCTATAACAAAAAATTAATTCAACATTAGAAATACATTTTCATTATTTTACTATTATTTGAATCTTATTTACAGTTGATTTTTTAGCAAGATTTTTGAGTTTAGAAACGGGGATGGACGATCATCTAGCATGAACCTTATAGTAGTGTAGAATTGAACCTTATAGTTAATTATAAGTTTAAAATAAAATGGAAAATTGAAAATATTAAAAATAAAATTCGTGTTTCACCAATGAATTGGACCATTGCCTCATTGAACAATATCCGATATGGTCTAGTGGCTAGGATACCTGGCTCTCACCCAGGAGGCTCGGGTTCGATTCCCGGTATCGGAATTTTTTGTTTTGTAAACATTTGATACATTTTTAATATTTACATTTAATTGCTCTCAAATATTATTACCTTATGATCTGAGTTATTGAAGTAAATAACTTAGTATAGGTTTTTATTAAACTAAGTATAACTAAACATCTTTACTGGTGAACTCTTCACATCGATTACATTCAAGTGCTATTATTTCTAACTTAAATTTTTAAATAAATGTAAGAGTATCGAGAACAGTATATAAAAATCTCCTGTTCAGAAATGCATTTTTAACGAATGAAATATCAATCACTGCTTATTCGGGAACTAAACTAGATCAGAAAAGTTCTACGAGATGAAAAATAATTTAAGTTGCTCCAATTTTTACCTTCATAATTAATAATACAAATTGATCACAAATATTTCTTGAAGTTAGAACCATAAATATGATTGTTTCCCAACATCAATAAGTTAATCTTATTGTTTGAAATATTACACAGAATGGTGAATAATAGCAGTAGCTATTATACGCATTTGAGACCGGGGAACAGCTCTTCTAATTATACATCAGTTCGTTACCCCCGCTCCATAGAACTCATTTTTTGAAAAGGGCTCAGGTTTTGTATGGTGTCATTTGAGTATTCTCCAACACATCCGATATGGTCTAGTGGCTAGGATACCTGGCTCTCACCCAGGAGGCTCGGGTTCGATTCCCGGTATCGGAAATTTTTTGCTCTATAAATAAAAATATTTTTTGGATAAATTTAGATTACGTTACTCAAACAAGAGATGGCCACCAACATCCGATATGGTCTAGTGGCTAGGATACCTGGCTCTCACCCAGGAGGCTCGGGTTCGATTCCCGGTATCGGAATTTTTTGCTTTTGATTCATATGATATAATTTTATTCTCGAGAGCACCCCTTTCAGGCACCGAAGCCAATGCACGAACGTTCTAATAAAATTTTCTTTCTTTTTTCATACTTTTCAAAATTGAAAAAAGATTTTTAAATTATATAAATTTTTAGGTATTAGCGTGTCTATACCATTGAGTTGTGAATATATTTTATGAATATATGATAATGTCTATAATTTACAATAATAAACATGAGTTTAACCCTCAGAATACTCGAATACAACGTATGTTGCAATGTCATTAACCTCTACATATTTGACGTTAGATTGTTCAATGTTACAAGTCTCGGATGATTATTCTATCCAAAATAATTTTATTAAAATTTTTTCAAATTCTGTTTCACAGAGGGTTGAATTTTTTAATAAATTTACGTGAATTGTGTGATAGAATGGATTGATAGACTATTTGTGAAAGGTATTTGAATCTGTTATTGTTTAGCTGTAGTCTTATATGCAGCTTTTATCAGGTGTAGGTTAAAGCAATAAGTAATACATGAAGAAATTTTCAAAAAAAAGTTCAAAAAATTCCGATACCGGGAATCGAACCCGAGCCTCCTGGGTGAAAGCCAGGTATCCTAGCCACTAGACCATATCGGATATATTAATGAGGGCACAAATAGCATTACAAAGACCCAACCAGCCCAACTTTGTTTTAGAAACATAACTATATTTGAATGTAATCACTCTCGTCCTCAAGATTGTTCTTTTTGCAACTTAAGTTAATGTATGAAAACTAGCATATTCATTAATTTTAAATCCTACAATTTGCGTCAAGTTAAAAACTGGAGCTATTTGTATATTTGCGTCAAGTTAAAAACTGGAGCTATTTGTTTATGACAATTTTTTAAATAGTCTAAATTAAATACTAAACGAAAAATGAAACATTTTTATATTGCTATAGTATATTCTTATAGTAGGATACCTTTTTACAAAGTCCCGCGGATTTTAAACAATTTTATTAAATTGAAAATTTTAATAAACATCGTTGAAAATAAATTCGAATTTTTTTGACTTGAGGGAAACATACTTTTGTATTCAGGGGTTAGAATGAACAAGTCTACGCAGTTTTTATTTATCGACTTTTGTTGAACATTGTTTCACAAACTCATTGAAAATTTAATGATTTTACGATCGAGAAACAATAATTTTTATAAATTTAACATACAAAAAAGATGAAACTATGAAAAATTTGAATTTACTCAAAATCGACAAAAAATTCCGATACCGGGAATCGAACCCGAGCCTCCTGGGTGAAAGCCAGGTATCCTAGCCACTAGACCATATCGGATGTTGTTAGACAGAGTACAAAAAACTGTACATAAACTTAAATCGATATTCAGCATGCACAGAGCTAGTTACGTGCTTTGTGATGTGGGTGTACTCGTGATATGATTATAACTGGCTATTGAAATGTACAATTTTTATGAAAAAATCTAAAATTGAAAACATTCTCATAGTAGTGAAAACAATCAAAAACTCATTTGATTCGTCAAAATTGTAAACTTAAACAATAAAATAATTACCCTGATGAGTTAAAGTTGAAAGTTTCGAAGAACTAAGGTTCTGTTATATTTGTAAGAGAGCGTGCAGTTATTATTACGGTACTATCGTGATCATCTAATAATAAAACTTTACTGAAAAGAAGTTGATGTAAATTAATTGAGAATAGAACGTTACTTGTAACAGCTCTCTTAAAAACTTGGAAACTTTTGCGAGCACTTTCGTTGCTGATTATAACTACTACAGTGTGATCTGTAAGAAACGCCAACTTGTCATCTTAGCAACTTTCTGTTGTTTTCATGAAAGCATTTATGTATGATAATGAGCGAGCAGCTTAGATTTCTCCAGTCTAATTACTTATTCGATAATTATTTTCAGTATTATAATGCAACGACGCAAAAAGGGAATAGCGAAAAGTTTGATATTTCTAGGACAAAAGATTTTCAAATATGACTGAAAATTTAATGGCTTCATAACAAATGAACATTTTTATCATAGCACGGTCAATCTTCGAATTTTCAAATTCTAAGCGTGACTAAATAAATCTCTGTATTTTACTGTGCTGTCAGTGTTAAACATTCCACAAGTTCTTGAAATATTTGTATAAACATGCTAAAATTATGTACAAATAATCAAACAAAATTGACTGTACAGCAATGTTATGTACCGAAACCGCGACGATTTTCGTATGGCTAAATACCGACAAAGGTTTATCAGCAGTGGAATTATTTGAAGTTTGAAATTTTGTTTCACGAAATTTGTACGATCAAATGACTTTTAATTCAAAAATCAAGTACCATTATTTGATACGATTTATATATTTTATCCAATTTATTTCAACTCACATAGAAAATATAACGCACACAATTAACTTGCAATTAAGTAATGATTGAAAAATTGTTAAACGCAAACCAAAGAAGTAACAATATCAGCTAGTAATATTGAGAAGTTATCAACAAGGATAGTTAATTTATGGCGCAATGAAATTTATGCATTTATTCCCACGTAAAAATTTGAACTGTGTGCAATATATTTGCAATATATTGGAAATGTATATCTGCAATATATTGCCGCATGATTCGCCGATATATTTCACATGTATGGGCCAGTTTACATTTGCCGATATATCGCAAATATATTGCATACAAAAATCAAAATTCAGCCTGATATATATATATATATATATATCGAATACATTGAATCAAATAATTATTGATCGATATTTAATTACACAAATGAATATTTTGTTCGTGGTAATTATTTTTAAACATATATGAGTGAATTTTATTATTCGAACGATGGTATTATTCAAATATAAAAATAATGTTTATTTGAAATAATTAAGTAGTATAAATTTAAAATTATAATTATGTAACGTCACATAAATCTCATAAATTGAACATAATTCCAATAAATTTATAATCATTGAATGATGACGATTTTTTCATCTCCTTGGATGGCGAAGTGAACCAATCATCATGTTGATGACATTTGTAAAATCTACTGGCTTGAGAGTTGACGCGCACTTTCGATTCACATAATCTAGAATAAGAAAATAAAAAATTAAGGGAAATCCAGTTTACAATCGCATTAATGATATTAATATTAAATGTTACATTCAACGGCGCTGGTTATATCTTTTGGTATTCCTGGGGCACCTGCCGACGACCGTCCTCGCGCACACATGTTAATTAAATTTTCCGGACCAACCAACTCCTTCATTAACCGACGTGTGGTTTCTCGAGGGTCATGGAGAAAACGTTGAATGTACGTCAATTGTGCTTTGTCAATCCATACGTTATAAGCGTTACACAATTGAATTCTACCATTCCCTCCCTGCCGACTCTGTTCAAGCCGATCCCTGTTGTCTCTCTGTGAATATAGAACAAATTGGTTAATTTTATGTAGTTAACACAAATAAAATTCAGCTCTTACCTCCAATGGCAATGCCACAGGTTCAATAATTATCCCTCTTTCTCTATCTTCCCTCTCCTGATCTTGGCGCTGCTGCTCTGCTCTCTCTCGATCTTGACGTTGCTGCTCTGCTCTCTCGCGATTTTGCCGTTGCTGCTCTGCTCTCTCTCGATCTTGGCGCTGCTGCTCTGCTCTCTCTCGATCTTGACGTTGCTGCTCTGCTCTCTCGCGATTTTGCCGTTGCTGCTCTGCTCTCTCTCGATCTTGACGTTGCTGCTCTGCTCTCTCGCGATTTTGTCGTTGCTGCTCGGCCCGCTCGCGATCTTGACGCTGCTGCTCTGCTCTCTCGCGGTCTATACGCTGCTGCTCGGC